GGAGGCTGCACCAGGAACAACCCGAGCAGAACCCTGGTTCATTTGCTGCTCGGGTTTGTTTATTCGCTGATACAGGGACCATCCCTAGCGGAGCTCAGGGAGTCTGCCGCACCACCCCCCCCCAGTACCCAGCTGGGCCTGAAGGTTTGGGGCTCATGCCTGCTAGTGCTCGTGGCCACTGGTAAATATAAAACTTACTGTCTTATATTTTGAATATAAATTTATATCACTGTATTTTACACTGGGGTTGTAGCAGGGAAGGCTCGCTGGATGGGGAGAGAAGTCAGGCTTCTGGGGAAAATTCTTATGTCAATGCTTGTGTTAGGGTACGGGCCCCTTAACGGCTGCTCTGTTGAGAAGGCTCTGGGGAAAGGGCCGCGGCAGCCTTGCCTCTCCTGCGTTGGGGCTCGTTCTGGTTCTTGCCCAGCCGGATCAGTGGTTCAGGACAAAGGTCCAAAGATGCTGTGCTGTTCAGGAGCCTGTAGTGCCATGCCTGGCAGTTCAGGTGCATATCTGGTGACGCTCAGGGAACCACATGGTGCCATGGATAGAACTGGGTGATGCAAGGCCTGAGTTTTAATCCCCATACTGTCTCTCCAGCTTCTCCTTCATGGGGCTTTGCATGGAGCTCAAGAGGTTACCCAGCGCTGTAGAGCACTTGCCTTGCATGTCACTGACCTGGGTTCGATCCCCAGTACCTCACAGGGTCTCCCAAGCCCACCAGGAGTAAGCCCTGAGCACAGCTTAGTGTGTTTCCCGCAAAGAAAAAAGTTCTACACAAGGCAATGGTTCAGGTTTTCATAGAGGCTTCACAGTCACATGAGATATCATCCAATTCGATAATCAGTGAAATCATAGAAAACGTTCCATTTGTATTAATAAGTACCCACAGACACACAGACACACCTACACATGCACACACACATACACATGCACACAACACATGCACGCACGCGCACACACAACACACACATACACGGACACACACTGGGGTTAACTGCTTAGCTGGGTTGGAAAATCAAAACATCTTTGCTGGCCTCTGTTCCTTGTGCCTCGAAAGCCTTGTGGTACTGTTTTAGTTCCTTGGCCCTGTTTTAGTACCACTTCATTCATTTTTAATGAGATTTTAAAAATATGTCTTATCCATTTACAGACATATTCTGCCTTGGCTATAAAGAGAGGTGTTCCTGTGTCAGTGTGGAAATATCACTAACACAGGCTGTTAAGGGGAGCAAGGTAATAAGAACTAGTTCTGTGACATATATTAAAGGAAACAAGTGAATAAAAGCAGTAATAAGGAGTAGTAATAGTAGCAAATAATCTATATATCTATACAGATACAGAGCCATTCACGCTTCTACATACATAAATGTATAGAGACATGTTTTGTAATATATATATTTATGATAATCTTGTTCCTGTTAAAAACTTACATATATTCTCTCTCTGTATGGAAATTTTCTGGAAGAATATTTTTTTCTGGGCTGGAGCAATAGTACAGCGGGCGTTTGCCTTGCACTCGGCCAACCTGGATTCAATTCCCAGCATCCCATATAGTCCCCCGAGCACCGCCAGGAGTAATTCCTGAGTGCAAAGCCAGGAGGAACCCCTTTGTATTGCCAGGTGTGACCCAAAAACCAAAAAAAATTTTTTTTATACAAGAATATTTGTTAAATATCTCATAGTGTTCTGAGATTAGAGAAGAAAGAACGTGTGTGTGTGTGTGTGTGTGTGTACACGTGTGCATGTGTGTACCAGGGAATCAAACCTGGGACCTCACAAACACACGAGGCATGTGCTCTACTGTTGAACCACCTTGCCAGCTCCTTGAACACCTTTGAAGTTGCTTTTTGTAAAGTTTGGTTGCTTTACCTGTGTGCATGTATTCATCTGAACCATATAAGTTTTTTTTTTTAACTAAATAAAGCATGTCTTTACTCACATCTCTCATGACCCAGGCCGTTAGCCCACTGCCCAGAATCAGGGCATTCATGTCCATTTAACACTGAAGCAACCAAAGTCCTGGGGGGCAAAACCTACAGCCACGCTTTTACTGTTGACTCTTACCCAACTTTATTATTTCCAAACAGATGTTATGAATTGACATGGGGGAGGGGGGCGAGAGAGGCCACACCTGGTGGTGTCCAGGGCTTATCCTAGCTCCGTGCTCAGGGATCACTCCTGGCGGGGCTCGTGGGACCATATGGGATGCCAGGAATTGAAAAGGAATTGACCACAAGGCAAGCACTCTATCTGCTATACTATCTCTCTGACCCTGTATTGGCTTCCTTTAAAACAAAACAGAACAAAAACTTTTGATTCCCTTTTATTTATTTTCTATTCTGGCTTTGTTTGGGGGCCACACCCAGCAGTGCTCAGGACTTACTCCTGGCTCTGTGCTCAGGGATCTGTTGGGGCTTGGGAGACCATATGTGGTGCCAGAGATCTAAATCAGGTCAGCCACATGCAAGGCAAGGCAAGTGCCCTACCTCCTGTGCTCTCATTGTGGCCATTCTTTTTTATTTTAAAATATTCCAGTTTTATCCACAATATGAAGGATAAATCCACAATATAAAGGTTGCATCAGTGGAAGATGCAACCCCAACCCATAAACCAAGACTGATGAAGCTTTAAATATTTGAGAGAAAATACATGACTTTCAGTCATTAGAAAAAACAATTAAGAAAAAAAAGGTTAAGAACCGGAGTGACAGTACAGTAGGGAGGATGCATGCCTTGCACGCGGCTGATTCAGGCTTGACCCCCAGCACCCCATATGGTTCCTCTGAGCCCACCAGGAGTGATCTCTGAGCACAGACCAAGGAGTAATGCCTGAGCACCGCTAGGAGTGGCCCAGAAACCAAAAGTGGAAAAAAACGTTTAAAGAAGAAAGAAAGAGGGGCTGGAGCGATAATAGAGCAGGTAGGGTGCTTGCCTTGCATGCGGCAAATCTGGGTTCGATTCCCAGCATCCCATAAAGTCCCCCGAGCACTGCCAGGAGTGTGCCTTGTTGGGTGTGACCCCCCCAAAAAAAAAAAAAAAGGTAAAGGCCCTCCCGTTGATCGTCGATTTGCTCGAGCGGGCCCAGTAACGTCTCCATTGGAGACTTTGTTGTTACTGTGTCTGGCATATCGAATACTCTCGGTAGCTTGCCGGGCTCTCCGAGAGGGGCGGAGGAATCGAACTCGGGTCGGCCATGTTGGCCGCTTGTAAGGCGAACGCCCTACCCGCTGTGCTATCGCGCCAAAAAAAAAGAAGAAAGAAAAAATCTCTTAAGATCGTTTTTTTAAATATTGGTTGTTGAACCAGACCGGCAGGCCAGGGAAGGGTCTGCCTGTATCGCCAATACAGGTTCATTCCCTAAGGCCACAGACGGTTCCTCAGCACCACCAGGAATGACCCCTGAGCACAGAGACAGGAGTGACCCCTGAGCACAGAGACAGGAGTAAGCCCTGAGCACAGAGACGGGAGTAAGCCCTGAGCACAGAGATGGGAGTAAGCCCTGAGCACCAGCAGCTGTGGCTCCAACACCCCCAAGACAAAACAATATAAAATTGTTGTTTGAAAAGCTCTCGAACGAGGGATAGGTATGAACCACTAGTTGTAGGCACAAGTATTCTTCAAAAATTTATTGATAGAAAGAGACAGATTCCAATGCCACACAGACACACACAAAGGAAGAGCTTGGAATGTGGAAGTCCCGGAGGAATCTCCCTGCTCTCGCTTCATCACCGCAATCTAGCACCATTGGTTCAGAAATCACAGACTGAATTGCAACAGCTTCTCATATACAAAATACCTTAGAAAGATTATCGAACTATCTAGTAACAAAGTTCTCCCCAAAAAAATTATTTAAAAAGCAATCTTGACTTAACTTCTGACACGAACGAAATGGTTCCAAAATGGATCCAATCCAAAGGGCCTGTCAGAAGGAACGAGGCTTAATTTATTTCATGGGAAGAAAAGGCCTGAACGCAGCTGCGGCCCCTCCCTCGCCACCAGACAGGGGCAGAAAAGGGAATTATCACATACAGAGCACACCTAAAACTAGTCTTAGAAAATACCTCCTAGACTATAAAAATACTAAATGGAATACAAAAATCTGCACGCGCTGCAAGGAGATGACAGCAGACACGTATTCCCGGTGTGCTCAGGGCTATCTTACACTACAATCAACGGGAACGTCAAGTACTTGTCTAACGCTTCCGGGCTGATCGCTTCTGATCCCATGTTTAACGGCCCCTGGAGTCTTGTGATCAGGCCAGACACACACTGAATTCTGGCTTTCTGGCAGATGTTACTGTAGGCACCACTGAGTAAATCTGGGTATTCAGCTGTTTTGCAAAGTGCTGGCATTGCCAGTGTGGCAGGTGACCTTTGGAGATCTCAGTCAGCAGGCCAGTGGCTCCTGGCACCGCCTGGCCCATTTGGGGAGGGGGGGGGTAGGGAGGGGGACAAGGAGCTGTGAATGCAGCCACACCCATTCACTTAAGTATTTCCGGAGTGGCTTTCTGGTTACCAAGTTGAGGTGTTGCGACCGGGACTCTTGAAGGCCATCGGACTTCTGAAACGTCTCAACTATTTACCACCTGGCCCTCACCAAAAAAACAAAAAGTATGACACCCCTCTATTAGACCCAGGGGTGGGGGCAGTTTTCACTGAACCAGGGCAGGGGAAAAAATGTCCCAGATGGGGTTTGGCTGAGGTTGCTGGTTCTGGGACACCGGACCAAGTCGGGTGTAATGGGCAGTGGATGGGCACACTCTGCTCTCGTGGAAGCGGAGTCCAGCGGGGCGCACGCCCGGTCCTCCGTGGACCGCCCCAGTGTGCCAAGTAACTCGCACCCCAGGGGGGCCTGGTCCTGCCGGTTCCGCCCAAACCCTGCCCGCACTCCCGGACGCGGCGTCTCGCCTTGAGAGATCAGCCCCCGGGTACCCTCGGCGCCGGGCAGAAGCAGGCAGTGGGTCGCCCGGGCCCCCCTCTCCCGGCCCGGAACCCCACCCCGCCGCCAAGCGCCCCGCTCTCAGAAGCCCTCCCGGTGGCACGCCTCGTGGTAGGTGGCACCGGCCCCGCCCAGGCTCTCGAACATGCCCCTCCTGACGAAGCGGAGGAAGTTCTCCAGCGGGCACATGGGCCTGGCGGAACGCTGGTGGTGGTCGCGGCAGAAGGCCGTGCTGAAGGTGACGTCGGCGCCGTCGTAGAGGACCCGCACCCCGTGCGCGCGCGGCTCGGCGCGGTCCTGCCAGAGCTCCAGCACCAGCCTGGCGGCGAAGCGCGGGAACCTGGCCTCGGACAGCCCCAGGGCGCTGAGGACGGGGGACAGCGTGACGTCGTGGGCCGAGTACAGCGCGAAGACCTCGTCCCGCGCGCCCTCGGCCAGGCGCTGCATGCGGCCGGCCGTCTGGTTGAGCAGCGGGTGGGCGCCCAGCAGCGCGTAGGCGCGGTACAGCTGCTTCTCGCGCCGGTCGCGCTCGTCGTCCAGCTGGTGCGCCTTGAGCACGCGGAGGTGGCCCAGGTCCAGGCAGCCGCTGCGCGTGCAGGGGAAGCTGACGTTGTGGCACAGGTGGCAGAGCATGGAGTCGATGGGGTTGGCGGCGCGCAGCTGCTTGGCCGGCACGTCCACGAGGCGCGCCATGTCCCCGTAGGTGGCCTCCAGCCGGCGGTTCTTCAGGCGCAGCAGGTACTGGCGCCGCTGCTCCCGCTCCAGGTACTGGTTCCTGGCGGGGCAGTAGCAGCTGCCCGAGCAGAACAGGGCGCTGGGCTGGTGCCGGAAGTAGACCTTGGCCCAGTCGAAGTCGGGCAGCAGCCCGTAGAGCAGCGCCAGCCCGCTCTGCAGCGTGCGGCTCTTGCCGGTGCTCTCCAGGTAGAGCTGCGCGCCCGCCCAGCCGTCGGGGAGCAGGCGGTGCCTCTTCAGGTAGATGTCGCGCAGCAGCTGGCCGTTCCGCAGGTGCTGCACCACGCCTGCGGCCAAGAGAAGCCCCGCGGGCGGGCCCGCATGAGCTCCGGGCAGGGGCTGGGGGGCTTGGCCAGGGCCCTTGGCGCTCCGGGCTCACTCCTGGCGGGGGCTCCGGGGACCCTCTCTGGGGTGCTGGGGATGGCCAGCCCAGCTCTCCGCCCGGCCCTGGCTTGAGGTTGGGTGGGACGGGACATGCCCAAGGACCCCGCACGCCACATCCCGGGTGCCGGGGCTCAGGCTTCCGCCCCAAGACCTCAGGGGGGTGCACAGGGAGCTGGAGGGCAGGAGCGTGGTGCCCTCGTCCTGGGCCACCCGCAGGGCCCGAGACCTCCAGGTGGCTGCTGTGGGACTGGGCTGGGTGGGGGGTAAGGGATCGAACCCAGGGCCTCACACGTGCAACGCGAGTACTGCATTGCAGAACCGCCTCCCGTCCCTCTCTGCTGCCCACCGCACTCCCCAGGGACATCCAGACCCAGCTTAGAGTCTGCTGACAGGACTGAGCCACTTTCCTGCCCCGGGGAAGCCGTGAGAACAACTTCCGGTGTGAGCCAGGGACGAAAAGGCCAGGGGGGCGTCTGGGAAGGAGGAGAGTCGGGAGGGATCCCTTGGGCACGCTGGGTGTGGCCAAACTGCACCCCTCCCCAACCTCCACCCCCACATCTCCAGGCCCCTTTGTTCTACAGGCTGTTTTTCATTAACCAAAGCTGAGGTCCGCACCCCTCTCGCCCCAGCTGAGGCAGGTAGGTACCGCTGGTCAGCGTTGGCCGCGGTTTCCATCCTGCACAGACCAGGAGCCTGAGCCTCAGAGCTAAGAAGGAGCATAGCCCATGGGCTGAGCCCACGGCCTTACACTCCAGGCCCTGCTCACGAGGGCCCCCCGCCCCACACTCTCATGCAGAAACAGAGTTCAAGAGTGACAGCCACTCCCCTCCACACACAGGGCTGTCCTGCACAGCCTCCTCCCAGCTGCTTTGCCTTTCTCTGCAGACAAAAGCCTCATCCATCTAGGCTGCGTCCCCTCCCAGTCGCTCCCCTCGGCCTTCTCTGTCTCCTGCTCCCCATGTCAAAGAAATGACCCCTGCCTTGCACCCTTGGACCCTGGACCCCTAGAACTGTCAGCATGCACCAAGTCCAGCACATACTAGTCCCGAGCTGGGAACTGGATACCCAAAGGGCATTTACCTTCCCACTGGCCCTCTTTATCCCCCCCACAGGCTGGGGTTACCCTAGAGAGTCCCCCGACCTTTGCAGTGTAGCTGACTCTCTCCCTCCGCTCCCCTAGCTGTGGGCCCTGCAGTCACCACTGGAGGGTTTCACTCGTCCCTGACACTTAGCAGCTGCAGAGCACCTTGAACTGAGTCGCTACCAGTGACCAGTCTCATATCACAACTGTGGGGAAGGGTCCGCTGGGGAAATGACAGTCACAGCAGCGCTGCATTTTAAATCACACTTTAACTAGAGGCTGGAAGTGTGCAGTTGGGAATATGGGCACCTAAAACCATCATTAGCGGTCCTGGAATGCACAGTACTTCAATCAATACAGATAAAAAAGAGAATAAATTAGAGGATAACGGTGACCTCACTGGAAGAGAATGAGAGAACAGGAGCAAACGTGATACCTAGAAGGACGCTGGGTTAGAAAGCAAGTGAGGGGTGGGGGAGGTGGCCAGGTTGCAGTTCTGGGGGGAAATGCATCGGTGCCTTGAGAGCAGAGTGCCCGGGGGAGGAGGCCGAGGAGGAGGAGGAGGAGGAGGAGGAGAAGGGGAAGAGGAGGAGGAGGAGGAGGAGGAGGAGATGAAGGAGGGGAGAGGAGGAGGAGGAAGAGAAGAGAGGGAGAAGAAGGAAAAAGAGATGAAAAGAGAAAGAGATGAAAGAGAAGGAATAAGAGAAGGAGGAGGATATAGAGGAAGAGGAACAGATGGAGGAGAAGGAGGAGATGGAGGAGGGGGAGAAGGAGAAGAAGAAAAAGAGACAAAAAAGAAGAGGAGACAAAAGAGAAGGAATAAGAGGAGGAGGAGGAGGAGAGGGAGGAGGAGGGGAGGAGGAGGAAGAGACAGATCAGAAAGGAGAGTAGAGAAGCAGGGAGATAGCACAGTGGTTAGGGCATGCTTAGCAAGAGCCCAGCGGGGGGGTTGCTTCTTGGCACCCTCGGGAGTTCCCTGAGGTCCCAGCACTCCTGGGTGGCTGAGCACCACTGAGCATCATTGAGCATCACTGTATCCTCAAATCCTCCCAATGCCAGTCAGGTTGGCTGAGAATCACAGGGGGGTCCTCCTGGGTCATGAGCACTACTAGCCCCCCCCCCCATCACTGAAAAAGAAATGGAAAAAGAAAGAAAATTCAGAACGAGGGGATGGAGAGAGAATGTGGTCTTGCCCATGACCACGCCCAGTTCGGTTGCTGGCACTACACGTGGGCCCAGACACCCCCCCAGTGTGCTTCGAGCACCGAGCCAGTAGGAGCGCCCGACACAGCCGGGTGTGGCCCCCAAAGACGCACACAAGCGAGGTAGGAATGAACGACTGTCTCAATGTGGACCCCCCAGAAAACAGCCTCTGGGCCCTCGAGGTCACCCCAGTTCCCAGGCAACTGACACTGGCCCCGGAATCTCACCATCGAAAGCCTGGCTAACGCGACAAGGCCTGTGTGCTGAGACCCGCATGGCCCAGGGAGGATCCCAAACCAGACACGGCCCCGGGGCGAGCCCGGTGCTGACCGACCCCACCAGCCACCTCAAAGCCAAGAAGTGGTTTCTCTCCCTCTTCCACTCAAGTCTGTGTAGCCTGCAGAGAGGGTGGCCCGGACCTTGGCCAGTGCGGCTCTGCTCAGGGTGACCCGGTATTCTGGGGACAGAAGCCAAGGCCACACCCAGAGCTTCACGGGGGCTAGTCCTGGGTGTGTGCCCGGGCTCGGGCCAGGGTGGGCTTCGGGCAAGGGGAGTCCCTGCCCCCTGCCCCATCTCGCTCGCTGCTTCCCTCACTGGTCTGTCCTCTTTTCTCTTTCACGAACAGGGTCTGCTTTTATAACAAGAGATTCAGGCTGGGGACAGAGAGACAGTGCAGCGGGCAAGATGCCTGCCCTGCACACGGCCGGCTACCACACAGAGTCCCCCGGGCCCCACCAGGGGTGATTCTTGAGCACAGAGCCAGGAGTAACCTCTGAGCATCACTAGGTGAGGTCCCCAAGCAAGCGAACAAACAGACAAATGAACAAGAACAGGAATGTTCTAAACTTAGGGGCCTGATGTTTGAGGAGACCCCATGGTGGGCTCTGAGCGGCTGGGGGGACGCCGATCTCCCCTCAAGACCTCCCTGCATGCATGGCACCGTCCACGCGGGGTGGGGCAGGGGTGTGGGGACGAGGGCCGCCTACCTGTCTGCGTGAGCTCTCCCATCTCGCACAGCTGGTGGTCTGGGTAGAGCGGGAGTGCATGGAAGGGGCTTTCAAACGCCGCTCGGGGTCCTTTTGACATGTGGGCGACGAAAGCTTCCAGTTTGGGGTGGTAGGGTTTCCTACAAAGACACACAGAGCTGGTCAGCGCGCCCCCGGATGCCCATCCCAGTCCAAGTCCAGCCTTTGGCTTCGCAGGCCTCACTCCTACAAGACTGAGCCACATTCCTGGCTGCGGTCAACAAGCGAATCTGTCTTGGGGGGCATGAGGTGAGGCGGGCGTTGGTGGTGGTCGGTCCCAGTGGTGTTCGTGAGACTGTCTGGAGCCAGGGATCGAACCCAGGCCTCCTGCCGGCCACGCTCCGCCCGTCCACTCTCCCCGCGGCCTCCCGAGTGCGCATGTCCTTTGCTCACCCGCCCTCGAGCCAGTCAGTTTCGCACTGTCCCACGTCATTGTTCTCCTACACCCACCCCTCCCGGCCACGCCAGCCTGAGCCCCTAACCACTGCCCTTCACTTCTAGGCCCCCAGTCTGCACCTCCATCCCCAGGAAGCCCCTAGTCAGGCTCCTCCATTCTCTTCCCTTGCCCTGTCTCCAACGGCCATCTGCTGCCCAGTCCTGCAGTGTGACCCCTCCCTCCCCCCCGGGGCTTCCCCACCCCTCCCTCCTGCACCCCACAGCACCCTGGCTCAGGCAGCCTCGTCCGGATGGCCACGGCTCCATCCCCTCCCCTGCCAGAGGGGCGCTGGCCTGTCACGTTCTCCCTGTCTCCGGCTTCAGCTTCGCCTCTCCTGGTCCCAGCCCACTGGGGTTCAGGAGGACCCCGGCCCTCTCCATGCGAACTCTGTGCTCGGGCCCAGCAGCCGGCCCCCTTCCATTCCTCCCACACCAATTCTTTATACTTCCAGCACTTTCCATGCACTGAGCCCTCCTCCAGGGAACTCTACCCCAACCTTTCTAGGAATCCTTAACTTTCAGCTTCAGGAAAGACTCCCTTGAAGAAAATGAACTGGGGGGCTGAGGCAGTGGTACAGCCGGAAAGGTGCCAGCCTTGGACTGACCCGGGTTTGAGCTGGCACCGCATACGGCCCCCAGGGTGCCCCCAGGAGGAAGCCCCGAGAACCACCAGGTAAGGCCAGACCATCAGCCTCCCTGGCGCCCCTGGCAAAATGAACTGATTCCCACAGCCAGAGTGACTAGAGCACCCGCCCCACGGCCTGCTTTGAGTTTTACACTTTCATGCCTCGCTCCCTGCAAATGGTAATGAGAAACCAAAAAGCGATTCGTTGATGGGATCCGAGTCTCCTGACACTGCTGTCACGACTCACATGTGGAAAATCAAGATAGAATTTCTTTCTCCTCACGACTATACAATTTCCTTGGGCAAGGAAATGACCTATAAACACATACACATTCTCTCTCTCTCTCTCTCTCTCTCTCTCTCTCTCTCTCTCTCTCTCTCTCTGTCTCTCTGAATAATGAAATGACCTATAAATAAACATACCTTCCCTTGGAATAACAACGATGCCTGGGATGTAGATACCTCTTAAAGAACAGAGTTGGGAGGGTTCTAATGGCCCAAGGCACCACTCTGGCCTGGAAAGCAGGAATATCGACCACCCACCCGAGGGAGACCCCCGCTGGCCGTGTCCCAATGAGCTGGGAACAGGAGCTGCTTTTTGAATGCCTGACAACAAGGGTTTATTATCTTTCAGAGACATAAAGCTGAATAAAACAATCCTTCCTGGAGAAAACAAAAGAATGCTAATTCAGGACAGGAACCTGAAAGGAATCAGCCTGGACCCTCTGGGGAATTATGAGTTTCCTAGAAAAAAAAAGATGTTATTTTCCCCCTGAGGTGAAAAGACATATATATATGTGTATATATATATATATACATATATATATATATTTGCAAAACTGGGAAATAAAACTTCCAGACTGAAAATGAGGCTGCCAAGGCAAGCCCACACAAAGACTCTCCATCACCTGGTGTCCAGGTGGAGCAGTGGTGGGTGGGGGGCGAAGGGGGCTTCCCAGAGGGCCATTTCCGAGATCCTGAGAAATTACCCCTTCTCATTTGAGAACTGACGTGTCGGTTGGCTGAAATAGCCAGTTTTTCTTGGCACCACACTGCTTCTTAATTAATACATGCATTCCCCCTTCCCCGTTTTGGTGGGGGAGGGGCGCTGAACACACCCAGCAGGGCTGAGCCTCAGCCGGGTTCAAGCGACCATGTGGTACCAGGGATCCGACCAGGGTCTCCTGCATGCCAGGCCAGTGCCTTCACCCCAGTCTCTCTCCAGCCCCAGTGTGTGCATTTCTAACTGCTCATGAAAAGTGGCTTCTGATTTGGAAAGAGAAAGGTCGGTGGGTCACAGAGCATGGGACCAGAGCAATCCAACAGCAGGCAGGCACTTGCTTCGCACATGGCTGACTCAGGTTTGATCCTATGAGTCTGAGATTGGATCCCATGAGCCCAACTGGGGTGATTCTTGAGCACAGAGCCAGGAGTAAGCCCTGAACACCGCCAGATGTGGCCCCAAAGCCAAAAAAAAAAAAAAAGAACAGATAGGGTGCACCTGTTTCATGGGCAGTGGGCCATGCTGCCACCCACGGTGCCCGGACCAGGGGATGGGGTGGGGAGGACCCTCCAAATCACAGCTACAAGTGCCCCATCTTTAGTTGCTCTGTGGAACCTTGAGACTTCCACAGTCCACAGCATTGAATGTGACAGGTTGATGAAAATAACTCCCCCACCCACCCCCGTTTTCAGATTCAGAGATTTGGAAGGAAGGATTTTGAGATGGACCAAGAAATAATGAACAAAGACACCTGTGAAAGTGCATAGAAACGTCTTGGGAAAAGAGACCAGATTTGAGATTCGGTTTCCTGGTGGTACCGGGCGCACATTTCAAGGTTTGTGCAACCATGGCCGCTGTCTGGCGCAGCACCAATTCATGATGCTTCTGTCATCAAGGACAGCTTGGGGGGGGGGGGGGGCTGCCATGCAAGACATTCTAAGTCAGCCCTGCTATTCACTGTCAGCAACTATTATGGCCACTATTATGACTGGTAAAAAATATCAAAGAGAAACATCACAGGACCAGAGTGATAATGCAGTGGGGAGGGACTTGGCCTTCCAAGCAGCCAACCCAGGTTTGAGCCCCCGCAGGAGGGATCGCTGAGTGTAGAGCCAGGAGGAACCCCTGAGCCCAGCTGAGCGTGGTACCAACCTCCCCCTCTGTCCCAGCCCCTGCCAAAAGAAAAAGAATGTTACGAATTTAAAAAACAAAATAACAGGTCTAAGGAGAGACATAGGAGGGAAGGACCACAGATAGGGACTCCGCAGCAGTCTTCAGATCACAAGAGCGACACTGCCAGGGGACTGTGAGAGAGGAATGACCAGTCCCATTGATGCAGGCAGGATAGGGAAGGCCCCCTCCCAAGGCAATGGCCAGCGCCAACCTTGCAGAAAATAGGAAAAACAGGAACTCTGGCCTGAAAAGATCCTCACCCATCACAGCAAACAGCCCCAAGAAGCTCTGCAGGAACAAAAGGCCAGGAGAGGAATTTCAAAGACCATCAACAGTCCCAAGCCCCCTGGTAACCTCCTTAGCAACAGGCTTTGACCTAGGTAGAAGCCCCACATGGGGGCAGGTTGGAGAAACGCTATAAAGGCGACCTTGAACAAACGAAGCGCGGGCAATATGCTGCCCGAGCCCATGTGCTACCTGCGCCCACGTGGCCAAGCACATGTGGTGCCTGAGCACATGTGTCACCCTCATCCCCCTCTTGAGATGTGCACTTTCACGCTTTCCTGTGTAATGCTGGGATGTGTGTAGGGGCTCTCTCCGCCTTTGACGAAACCCGGGTTCTCTCTTGAGCATGTTACTCTCCACCCTTTCCCACTTTCTCTCCCTCCTTCCCTTCCAATCCCTCCAAATAAAATCTATTTACTTCACTGCTTGTCTACTCCTGAAATTCCTTTCTGCGAGGCGAGACAAGAACCCAGGAACCCTGAGTCCTAGATGGCAGAGGCGGATGGGGAGAACGTGATCGTCTTTCTCCTTCCTGCTTCACGTAAGTCACCCGTGGGGCCCACTGACATCATCATGGTCAGGAATGTTCCAGAACATTCCAGAATGGGCCACCCCACCTCAGAGATGTGAAAGGTTGGCCCCCAGGAGAAAAGTTCCCCAGGCCTTGGAAGGTACCTGTTCTGGGGCTTAAATCTGTTTGGGGCCCCTAGGAGGGCGTGTGTGGGCAGCAAGGCTGGCGCTTCCCCCTGACACCCGGGCCTCCTTATAGCTGCCAGGCCCAGCGACTCGGATGCAGGATGCCTGAGTCCAGGTGCCTAGAGGTGGGGGTGGGGGCGGGGGTGGAGGCAGTTTCATGGGAAGATGAGCTTCAAATGTCAGGGTGCCAGGAAGAAGGCCTGCCTGCCTGCCGGGCACCTTCTCTGGAAACAACCCAAACAGGGGCCCAGGAATCTTCCAGAATAGCGGGGGGGGGGGGGGGGGGGGGGGGAGGCAGCGCCCTCGTCTGAGCCCAACCCTTCACGTCCTCTGGAGACCCAGGAGGACATGGCTCTATCCTCACGCCTGAGGCCGCCCCAGTTCATCCCACCCACCAGCCCTGCTGGTGAGGGCTCCAGGGCCCACAGTTGTAAGACTGAAGCTTAGCTGTGCCATCGAGCAAGGCCAGTTCCCTCCCCACCCCTGCACAGCCCTGCACCCCCCCCCCCCCCCAGCCGCATCTGCTTGGAAGTGATCCGGAAACTCAAGGGTTAACTGCCAGCACACCAGGTGGGTGTCCTGAGGGGCTGTGGAGGCCACACAGCAAGCCAGTGGCAGGGTCACAGGTCTGAAAAGGAGAGGGGAGAACAAGAGGGATGGGGATGGGACCCCCCCCCCCCACCAACCAGGGCAGAGGAAGGAAGATTCCTCCACCCAACACGGGGCCAAAGACGCAGATTCCCGCCAGCCAAGAGCTCCCAGGGGCCTTGGCAGGAAGTGAAAACTGCAGGAAAGCTTCTTGGTTCCGTTCAGGAACAGGACGCCGAGAAAGCGCTGATCCGGAGCAAACTCCCGTCATCTGCTGCTATTGATTTTCTCTTTCATGGTTTTGGTTAGCTGAACACCCAGCCGTGATCAGCGGGTGACGAGCTGGGTGTTCAGGGGTCGCTCCCAGCAATGTGCCAGGGACCAGACATGCCCGGGACCTGAGCTGGGCTTCTGGCGTGGGCAGCCCAAGGGGCTCTCTCTGGCCCTGTGATCCAGTCGCCACTCACAGCTCAGGTCTCCTCCCTGGCCCTGCACTCAGGAATCACTCCCGACAGTGCGCAAGAAACGGTTATGAGATGCCGAGGATCGGCTTTAACTCCTGCACCATCTTTCAGCCCGCAAACCCGGAGGCAGTCCCGGTTCCACTAGCTGGGGCTGGAACCAATTCACAAGTATCAGCTTCCCACTGGCCTCCTGTACATCTTCTCCAGGGCCCCACCAGAGGTGTCCCGTGCCCCCAGCACACTGGCTTGGACCGGGTCCGGCATTTGAGGGCCAGTTGTACCTTTAATCTGAGTCAGGCCGTTTCCCTGTGCACAGGTTAGTTCCACTCCCTGTTCAAGGGACCTTCACCCTAACGGCTCTCAGCCCAGACAGGGCCGGCTCGTGCTTCGGTGAAGAATGCAGAGGCCGGCGGGGGGACACGCAGGAGCCCACGGTCATTCCTCAGCTCTGCAGTGCTGCCCGGGCCTCTGAGCACTGGGCCATTTGGGCCCCTTCCCCAGCATGGTCTGGGCTGCAGGGAAGAGGGGGCGAGGGGAGGGGAGGGCTGAGGGGGGAAGAGGGTAGGGGTGAGGCAAGGAGGGGGAGAGGGTAAGAAGGGGGCCCGAGTGCAGCCTGCCATTTCTCCAGCTCTGCAGTGCAAGTGGACATTCCCCTCCAGCATCTCGCTGTCCCCTCGCTGTCCCCCCGTGTCACCCCGTTTTGAAGAGAGGAGATGGAGCCTGGGAGGGTGTGACAGCCCTGGCCCTGAACCTGAGCAGAAGGATGGAGCTCGGGGTACCGTGGCCGGCCTCAGTGGTCACACACCAGCAAGCATCCCCACCCTGACCTGCGACTCCCCTGTGCCACCATGGGGGCCACCACACAGGTCCTGCTTGGCATGGGACTCGCCCACCCTCCTGAGACTCGGTCTGGGGTGCAGATGACAGAAAACTGTTGTTGTTGATGGTGGTTGGAAGGACAGAACAGTAGGATAACAGTGGTTTTCAGGGCGACATCTGGTGATGCTCAGGGGTGACTCCTGGCCCTTCACTCAGCTCACTTCTGGCAGTGCTCACAGGACCATAAGAGGCACTGGGGATCGAACCCAAGTGAGCCACATGCAAAGCAAGAGCCTTTCCTACTGTACTATCTCTTCAGCCCCCAAACTCTCTCATTTTTTTCTTTTTTTCCCTTTTTGGGCCATACCTGGAAGTGTCCAGGGGTTATTCCTGGCTCTGCCCTCAGGAATTACTCCTGTGCTTGGGGAACCCAATGGGATGCCAGGGACTGAACTCAGGTCAGCCATTTGTAAACACCCTACCCACTATACTATGGCGCTGGCCCCCCCAAAAAAGAACTTTAAAAAACTGCAACTGAGGGGCTGGATGGCAGTGCAGGAGGTCACACACTTGCCTGGAAAGAGGACAGAGTAGCAGATGCTGGCTGGACCCTGAGCACTGCATAGGGCCGGTCCCCCGAGCACTGCCAGGGATCTTTGTTTTGTTTTATTCTGTTTTTGAACCACACCTGGGAGTAAACTCAGGGCTTACTCCCTGCTCTGTGCTCAGAGATTACTCCTGGCAAGCTTAGGGGACCATGCAGGGTGCCGGGAATCGAACTGGGGTTGACTGTGTCCAGGTCAACGTGCCATACCTGCTGTATTCTCTCCAGCCCAGCGGGGTCACTCTTGAGCACAGAATCAGGAATAACCCCTGAGCACCACCAAGTGTGACCCCCCCCACAAATACATACATACATTATACAAATATATATATATATGTATACATATATACATATATATATACATACACACATAAATATACAACCAAATCAATTTTTTAAGGTGCAATGTACCTGTCGGCCACCAGAGTGCAGTCGATTTCTGGGCGCTTGGTTTTGGGGATGACGTAGAGCGGGTACCTGTCCCCGTGGCGGATAAACACGTGCACTGAGACCAGCTTGAAGTGGTGCGGGGCATGGCCTGGGGAGAGAGTCTGCCAGTTAGTGAGCACTCAGGAAATGTCTATTGACAAGGATTGTGCGGAAGTGGAGGAGCAGGGGAGCTGGTGGGAGAGGAAGAGGATGGTGCCAAGGAGCGCTGATGAGGTGCCGGACCCCCAGCAGCCTCTGGGAGGTCAGTGAGATGTGAGATGGCATCTACCAACCAGAGGAGACTCAGAGAAAGCCTGGAGCTGATGGTTTCTGCTCAAAGCTCTACCAGGGCAGGCCCCCAACGATGAGACATGCCTTGCTCCTGGATACACCTGTGGGCAGCCCAGCTCACGGGACAAGCCAGGGTCCCTTCACTGCCCGCACCGGTGATTTGAGGAAGTCCCAGAGCCGACTCAGAAGCAAGGGGCCACTGAGGGTGGGGTCCAAGTCTCCAGGCTGCCGTCCCACCCAGCTGCTGTACACGGGGAATCCTCCTCACAAGACCCCGCCCGTCACCTGGAGCTTCTCGCCTTCCTCTCCCCTCCTTTCCTTTCCCTGAGAAAGACTGCTGAATCCGGCCACTTGCCCTCTCATCCTTCACTTTCAATCTTGACTGAGGGCAAGAACCCGAGTATCTGTGTCTGCTACAACAATATGGTTCTGAGTCTTGCCAGGAGTGCACCCTGAGCACAGAGCTGGGAGTAAACCCCGAACACTGCTGGGCGTGGCGCAAAAATCAAAACAAGAATAATTTACTTTTTAAAAAATGCAGGGGCCAGGGGCTGGAGCAATAGCATAGCAGGTAGGGCATTTGCCTTGCACAAAACCATCCCAGGTTCAATTCCCAGCATCCCATATGGTTCCCCGAGCACCTCCAGGAGTGATTCCTGAGTGCATGAGCCAGGAGTAACTCTTGTGCATTGCTGGGTGTGACCCCCCCCCAAAAAAAAGCAGGGGCCAGAGAGATAGCACAGTAGGTAGGGCGCTTGCCTTGCACATGGCCAACCTGGGTTCTATCCCTGGCATCTCATACAGTCCTCCAAGCACCACTAACAGTAATTCCTGAGTGCAGAGGCAGGTGTAAGCCCAGAGCATCATTGGGTGTGTCACCCAACGTTTAAAAATTTAAAAATATATATTTAAAAACCTGCAAATGATAAGAGTCAGAGGGGGTGGGAGGCCTTCTGGGGAGCCACGTGTTACACAGAGTGGTCCCTGAGCCCTCCCTCCTGGCAGCCACAGTACAGAGGGTGCTCTGGGCACTCCAGTGTGATGGGTGAGGCATCTCAGTCCCAGGGACTCATTCGAGCTCCAGCCTCAAGGCCAGGGGTGCTGAGCGGCTAGGGAAGAACAAGACTAGAGCAAAGTTCCTGCAGACTGGGAGGCCAGACCTACATCCCACGGGATGCTCAGCCACCAGACCTACCTCCCGTGGTGTGCTTGGCCAGCAGACCTACCTCCTGTGGCATGCTCAGTCACTAGACCTAACTTATGTGGCATACTCGGTCACCAGATCTACCTCCTGTGGACACGCCGTCAAGATCTACCTCCCTTAGGGCACTTGGCCACCAGACCTACCTCCCTTGAGACATTAGGCCACCAGACCTACTTGCCATGGTGCACTCTGCCACCAGACCTACCTCCCTAAGGGTACTTGGCCACCAGACCTACCTTCCATACTGCGCTCGGCCACACTGGGTGTGTTGCAATACAGAAGAGCTTCGTTCACGGGATCCAGCACAGGGGGCTCTGTTGCGGGGTCAGGCAGGATTCGCTTTCGGCTTTTGCTGCTCACAGCATTCTTAGCTGAGGACAGGGGGATCAGGTGGACTGCAAGGGAAGCAAAGCAGGTCAGGACCCTGGTAGGTGCCACAGGCTGCCAGGAAAGGCCTGAATCTACACCCTCACAACTGGGGTGGGCTCCAGAGCCACAAGAGGTCAGCTGCACACTCAAGAACTATTTCTCTTTTGTTCTGATTTGTTTTACAATATTGGGGGGGGGGGTTCACAGCTGGTGGTACTCAGTACTCCTGGCTCTGTGCTGAGGATTTACTCCTGGCGGTGCTAGAGGAACCAAATGCTGTACTGGGGATCGGCCCACCATGTGTAAAGCAAGTACTTTCCCCTTCCTCTTCACCTCTTCCTCAGCCACCACCCTACCTCCAGTGCTGTGCTCGGCCACCAGCTCCCCCTGTCTGCAAAGTGCATCGGTTGACATTCACTTGATCACTTGACATCCCATTACTCATCGATTTGCTCAAGCGGGCACCAGTAACGTCTCCATTCGTCCCTGCTGCATGCTAGTGTAGCCCAATGACGTCTGCTTGTTCTAGGAACACAAAGAGCCTCAAGCCTCAAACCGATTTGAGGTTTGAGGCTCTTCGGTTGACATTAGGTTTAATCAAATGGGCCCTGATCAGTAGACTATTCCTTAATAATACTCAGTTGTTATTAGTAGATTAATAATAACAGTCCATTGCTTAGAAGTGGCTGCAAGTCCATCTTCTGGGTTGACAGGCCTTTATTTGTCCAGCATCAAAGACTTTCTGGAGGTCTTTGTATAAACGCTGTGTTCTTGGCACCAACCCCTGAGAAGATACACAGAAAGTAGCTCTAACTGAACTTCTAGAGTATTTATTTTTGCAGGGGATGGACACCCAGCAGTGCCCAGGGGACCACTCCTGACAGTGCTTGGGGTAGAGTGAAGTGCCAGGGATCAACCCTGGAAGCCCTGAATGCAAACACGCTTCAGCCCTTCCCAGTTCTCCCTTGGCTCTGCTTAAGCTAAGAGCCTTGTTAGTCACCATCTTCGAGACGTGCCAACATTTGAACAATACTAAAAGAGGGTCCAATCACTCATCTAGATCCCTTTGGATCCCATCTACAAAATCTCCTACATAAATATTTATCACGTCCCTCTGGCAAACAGATGATATAAACGAAGGTAAAAGCCGTGAAAGTCACCGAGGGAGAAATATGTCCAACATATGAGTCGGTCTCCAGAGTGTACCAAAGGCTGCCAAATGCAAAGTCAGTGAAGCGATGAGCCGGCTGGGGACTGGAGAGATGGCACAGTGGGTGGGGCTCCTGCTTGCATGAGGCCCACCCAGGTTTGATCCCCCCAGAGTCCCATATGGTCCTCTGAGCCCCTCCAGAGCAATCCCTGAGGGCAGAGCCAGGAATAAGCCATGAGTATGACCGGGTGTGGGCCAAGACACAACAAAGAGAGGAGCAGATCAGAGACACACCCAGGGCAAAGAAACACAGGAGATGTCCACAATGTGCATATGTAAAGAAAAAAACAGGAAATTATGTTTGGAATACTAGTATTACAGGGGTCACTGGGAGGGGGCCAGGCCCCCCCCCAGACTCACACTGCAGGTCATGGCAGTGCCACGTGGGCACCCTCTCCAAAGGAGTTTAGTGCTGGCCACCAAAATGCTCTGTGATTTGTCCCTCATCTATGCGTCCACATGCTGGAGTCTATTTTCCAAAGATGACCAGTTCCCAAGGGTCAGGATATGAGGGGGAGGGGGAGGGGAGCGGGGTGTGTGTGTAGGAGTGGGGGGGGGCAGAGCCTTGCAGAGGAAGACCCAGAGAAAGACCCCAGCTCCATCCCTGGCACCACGGGGCAGGGAGATGGGGGAATGAAAGATATCAATTTGCATGCAAAGGCGTCTGAATGAAGAGATTCTTCTGCATGGCTATGTTTAGGAACAGAAAGCAGAGATAAATATTGAGAATTCGTCATCATTTGTCAAACCAAACGTTGCCCTGTGGAATATTCCTCCACGGTTAAAAAGCCTGGGAACGAAGCAAAGATAAATGAAGTGACTAAACGGAGTCACTGGATACTTAGCTAATCCCCTTTGTGTGGAGAAGAAAGCAATTACGGGCAAGGAATGCATTGTTTGGCATGCAGATGCGGGACAGCCGTGGGCAGGGCCCACCACGAGGCAGTGCTGCCTCCTCAGCGGCAGAGGTGGAGTGTGGCATGTTTGTATTAGTTTTTCTATAAAACTATCTGTTTCTCTGTCTCCAATACCCACATGCAGATTCCCGAGTATTTATTTACCGAAAGCACGTGCAACCTCCATGCTACATGAATGGAAACATGGATGTGAGTTCATCAGGCGTGGACAGACCCAGTTTTCCAACAATGAGCATACTGTCACGCATGACTGTGCTACAACAATGCTCAGGGCGACAGAGCTGTCCCTTTACAGGCTCAAAATCGGCCCTTTGCGGGGTCCCAGGAAAACGTCCCCGCCACAGCAGCTGGAAGGGGCCGGGATCGCTGACCCAGCTCAGGCCCCCGGATGATGCCACAGAGGTACAGATGGAGGGAAAGCAGATGTGCTAGGGCCGTGGCGCTCGTGACCCAGCCCCCAGCCCTCCTTGCAGGTTGGTACCAGAAGCCTTTCATCTGTCTCTTGCTGCAGAGAACACAGGATGCAAACATCTCTTCTAAATAGTTATTGGTCCCTGGTGGAGGTGCCAAAAAGTGGAATTGCTCAAGAATCCCTAGTCTTTTGAGAAGTGTCCATATTCTTCTCCAGAAGGACCGGGCGAGTGGACCTGCCCACCAGCAGTGAAGGAGGGGCCCTTTTTCCCGAACCCCTGCCGGCACTAGTGGTCCTGTTCCTTGTGAGAAGAGTCAGTCACAGTGGTGTGAGATGAAGCCTCATTGTCGTCTGGAGTTGCATTTCCTTGAGAAGTGAGACAGAGCATTTTATCATATACCTTTTGACCATTTGTAATGTCTTTTTTTAAAGATTTTATTATTGAATCACTGTGCGACAGATCTTTACAAAGATGTTCATGATTACATTTCAGTCATGCAGTGTTCCAACACCCATCCCTCCGCCAGTGGGCATTTCCCAGCACCAGTGTCCCCAGGTTCCCTCCCATCACCTCACCACGCCCCAGCCTGCCTATATGGCAGGCATTCTCTCTCTCTCTCTCTCTCTCTCTTTCTCTCTCTCTCTCACTCTCTCCCACCTTCCCTCTCTCCCTCTCCCCCTTTTGGGCATTGTGATTTGAAGTACAAATACTGAAAGGTTGTCCAGAATATACCTCTGAACCCTCAGCTCTTGTCCAGCCTGATCATTCCCAGCTATTATTATTGTACTGGTCTCTATCTTACCTACCCTCAGCCACACACACACTTGTGGTTGATTCCAGCCACTGACCAGTCCCCCTAGACCTTGTTTTCCCTGGCCATGGATATGTCTTCTTATGTGTGTGTGTGTATGTGCGTGTGTGTGTATATATATATATATATATACATATATATCACAAATGAATGCAGTCATTCTATATCTGTCCTTCTGACCTCTCCTTCTGACTCATTTCACTCAGCGTGATACTCTCTATGTCATTTATAGGCAAATTTCATAACTTTCTTTTTCCTAACAGCTGAGTAGTATTCCACTGTGCAGATGTGACACGGTTTCTCTATCCATGCATCTGTTCTCGGGTGTATGTCTTCTTATTTCTTTTCTTTTGGGGGTCATACCTGGCAATGCACAGGGGTTACTCCTGGCTCTGCACTCAGGAATTACTCCTGGCGGTCTGGCGGTGCTCAGGGGACCATATGCTGGGAATCGAACCCAGGTCGGCCGCGTGCAAGGCAAGTGCCCTACCCACTGTGCTATCTCTCCAGCTCCTGTATGTCTTCTTTAAGGAAGTTTCTTTTTCCTGTTTTCCAAAGGGGCCTCAAGCCGTTCCGTGAGCTCATCTGCTTCTTGAGGGTGGAGGTGGTGGGCACACTTGGCAGTGCTGGGGGGCTATTCCCGGCTCTGTGCTCTGTGCTTGGGGTTCCACAAGCAGTGCCAAGGGTCCAAACTCCAGTGGGGGTGCAAGGGAAGTACTTACTTCCTGAACCGTCTCTGCTATCTGCCTCCGTCTGCTTGTCACTGCCCTTGTGGCTCATGCCCCACTCATGGTGGCCTCTGTAGGTTCCCAACACCCCCCCACTCACCCCAGTCCGTCCCCCCCCACACACACACATTCACAGGGCCTGGTCTGTGTCCCTTTCACATGCCTATTTCTGGTGAGGCCATGCCCAGCTGCACTCTGGGGTCACTCCTGATAACGCCTAGGGGACCGTCTAGGGTGCCATAGATGGAATCCGGATGGACTGTGCATAAGGCCAGCATCCCCTGCTGTCCCCGCTCTCCAGCCTCATTCATGTTCAGCGTCTGCCCCCAGCCAGTACCAGTGCTGATGCAGTGAGGGATGTTCTGAGCCGCCAGGCCGCCTCCCCCAGGAGCACGGAGGGAGGACACCACCGGGTCAGGCTGACGGGGACCGGCCACCATCTACCCAACAGACGCCCACCCAGACAGGACGCCAGCTCACAGGAAGTCCCTTCCTTGTCCTTCCCCAAAGTGTGTCTCTGCAGTCACTGCACAGGCACCAGAGCAGCTGCATGTCCTCCCACAGCTGAGACTCTCCAGAGTGCAGTTCCCCTGGTCCCCATCCCCTCTTCTGCTGTGGGTCTGAGTTCCCAGGATCCCCTGCACATTTCCTTTGGACCTGTTTACCCATGCCCACCTACACACACACACACATACACACACAAGGCCCTGGTCAGTATAGACTGACCCTTCTGGTGCTGTTGAACACAAAAATAAATAAGAGGACCTGGAAAGGCCGGGGGGGGGGGGGGTCAAGGAGTCGGGGCCTCTGAGCCGGGACCGCCAGCCTGTGGCTGTGGCCTTGGCGTGCCTCAGGCTCCCCCTGAAAATGTCCACGTCTGGGTCCACCCTCCCGCTGGACATAGAACTCTGCGAGGGACACACCAGGCACCCGCTTTCAGGTTCTGG